CGACCGAACCTCTCGTGAAATGATTCAGGTCATGTTTGCAGGGGAATGAAACACGTGAAGGATGATCACACACTCAAGACAGCTCACTTAATTCTGTGGCTGGAGCATGAACTGAGTAACAAAGAAACTTCCGGTGTTTACCGCAGTTTCCAAAATAAAAGTCGCGGCAGCAGCGCTCGAGAGGAAAAAAAAAAAAAAAAAAAAAGAGAGAGAGAAGCTGGAGATGATGAAGCATCTGGTCTCTTGATGCTCGGCTGGTCTCAGAGCAATTCCTCTAGAGGAACCTGTGGAAAACAAAGAGATCATTTATGTTGTAAATGACATTAATAATACAAACATATGAGTTTGTTCACTAGTTCACTTTTGTCTCTTTTCCTCTCTTCCTCATCACTTCTGTGTTCCATCTTCTTCCCCCTTTTATTTATATTTTTCACTCCCTTTCCATATATTTACTTTTTATCCATCTGCTCAAGGTTGTTGTGTTATTATAGGATGTATCTGGGAAGAATTATTCTTCTATCTATACTCCCATTTTATATAAAACACATTTGTAAGATATGCATATATAATGCATTTTGCTATTGGATGAAAGGGGACCCCTCACAATGTGTCAGTATATACTATTGTATGGGACAATAAAGTTGAAGTAAAGTAAATTCAGATCTCGTGTCTGGCTTAAGAAATAACGGGATGAATTCTTAACAGTAAGTCACTAGTTTGTCACACTGATCTTAAGGGAAGAATCCATAGAGCCTCTTTTAATAGTGATTTGATAGTTCTATTGTATTTTCTGGAGAGTCTAAAGCTAAAGATCCAGATTCATCAGATTCCTGAGAGGAAAGATTTGTTGCTCAGCACATAAAGATGAACTACTTACCGTGATTTCAGACTGTGCTGATCTGGTTTCTCCACTGCATGGATCTTCATGTGCATGTTTAAGACTGAATCTCTTGTCACATTGTAAACACATGTAAGGTTTTTCTCCATTGTGGATCCTCTCATGTCCTTTCAGACTTCCTGACTGACTGAATCTCTTGTCAGTGTGAACACATGTAAGGTGTTTCTCCAGTGTGGATCCTCATGTGTCGATTCAGGTGACTTTTAACAGTGAAACTCTTCCTGCACTGATCACACGTGTACGGTTTCTCTCCTGTGTGGATCCTCTCATGTGCTTTCAAACTTTCTGACTGACTGAATCGCTTGTCACAGTGTAAACACATGTAAGGTTTTTCTCCATTGTGGATCCTCTCATGTGCTTTCAGACTTCCTGACTGACTGAATCTCTTGTCACAGTGTGAACACTTGTAAGGTTTTTCCCCAGTGTGAATTCTCTGGTGCTGTTTTAAATGATTCACATGAATAAATGTCATTCCACACTCACAGCACATATGAGCTCTAACACCAATATGAATTTTCTCATGTGTATATAAACATTGCAGCCTTGAAAAACTCTTTCCGCACACAGAACATGAATGTGGCTTCTCTTTCGTATGAACAGTCATGTGTGTCTTCAGGTCGGATGCCCTAAGAAATGTTTTGCTACATTCATTACATGTGAATGGCCTCTCTCTGGTGTGAACTCTAATGTGAATCTTAAGACTTTCTTTGTATGTGAAACTCTTCCCACATTGATCACATGTGAACGGCTTCTCTCCAGTATGAACTGTCACATGAAGCTCATGATTATGTTTGTTTGTGAAACTCTTTCCACACTGAGTGCATGTGAAAGATTTCTTGGCTCTACTTTTCTTTAAAAATGTATTTTTAGTCTTTGAGCAACTCAAAGGTTTCTCCTCCACTTCACTCAGCTCTTCACTCTCCTCGTTCTCTTCCAACAGGTCTGAAATTTTAAAAACGTTTAAAAAGTTTTTTTTTTTTTATTACATAAAAATAGTACAAAAATAAAGAATATGACATGAAAGGACATAAAAGTGAACACTGATTTAACAAAGTAGACAACTTCTATAAAATATTCCGATCACGGTGATGCTTTTTTTTTTAATACATTTCTTATACGCCCCTGAAACTTGGTTAAGGCTAGAAGGGATACGTATGGCACTACTGGGCATGCGCACATCAATACAGCATAATTTTTGTCACACTGTACAATAGGGGTGTGCGATATACAGTGGTGTGAAAAAGTGTTGGCCCCCTTCCTGATTTCTTATTTTTTTTGCAGGTTTGTCACACTTTAATGTTTCAGATCATCAAACAAATTTAAATATTAGTCAAAGATAACACAAGTAAACACAACATGCAGTTTTTAAATGAAGGTTTTTATTATTAAGGGAAAACAAAATCCAAAACTACATGGCCCTGTGTGAAGAAGTGTTTGCCCCCCTGTTAAAACTGTGGTTTATCGAGATATAATTTTTTGTCAATATCGCACACCCCTACTGTACAACTATAATTACTATTTTTTTCATTATTGTAAGGGTAGGTTTAGAGTTGGGGTAGGTGTAAACATTAATAAAACACAATCTAATAGGTATAAAATTTAATTTTATTGTTCGTTTCCGGTTGGAGCTGTATCCCTTCTAGCCACAACCCTGAAACTTCTCATGAATGAGGTACACTGATCTTCCTGTTATTATATTCAAAACATTATAGACAAAACCCATGTTTCTGTAGTGAGAACTATTTGATAAATGACACAATTACTGGCATATTTTGACACCAACTTTCAGACTGATATTTATTTTACTGAAACTTTTTTAGTTATTAAGGGCTGGTCACAATTTCTTTCACAGACTTCTATTCATACGCATGTAAATGTTGGGCACTGGAAACAAACTCATGCAAATTCTTGCAGTAAAGTGGAGTAGATTGTATATTTTTAAATTTTTTAATTATTATTATTTGTTATATGTTTGTAAAAAAAGATATTGTAGAGTGTGACGTAGGGCTGTCACGATATTAGATTTTTCACACCACAGTTATTGTGGCCAAAAGAATTCATGATATCGATATATCGCGAAATCTATAGAAAACTTGGGGTAGTTGCGCATGCAGTTAGCGCGCTTCTAATTCAGTTTTAATGTGCGTCTAGAACGGCCGCAGATGAGGCACTAAGTGCATGGCACTGAGTTTAATGTAGCAATGTGTCACTCCGTTTTCTAGGTTTGTTTTACTCGTGTAATAGATTTGAACAAAGAAATCAAGTGCTACGCACATGTATTGGCCATGACTTGATTTCAAATACAAATAAAAAAATTAGACGAGTAAAGAAAACGTGGTACTTATTAAAAGAATCAGCCCTTTATTTAAATATATGAACACAGGAAACCGATGTTAACAGGTTAATGTAACGTTTCCCATTCCATGACTGGAATAAAATAATTGCAACTTACTCTCTGTATAATATTGGACGTTGTTGTTCTTCTCGGAGTAGCGCGCGGCCGCATGCTGCGTCTTCTTCTTGATTGACAGGTGTCAGCGTTAAGGCACAATACTGCCACCTGGGAGGTCAACCAGGTACTGGCGCTGGAGAAGGCTATTTGTGTGTCGTGTTATCATAAGTGTCCTGTTCATTTTAAATATTGTAGTATATCATCACACCCTAAATTAACACGATGTCGATATTTCATAATCGGAATATCACGATTATTGTCAATACCGGTATATCGCGACACCCCAACCCATTTCACAACCGCTGCAAGAATTCCACATGCTGAAAGTCTAGACTGACTGCAGCTTTAACTAGTTTTAAATTGAATTTTTTTATTAGCAATATCTGTGTCCTACAGGCTTAACTCAACCCTGTTACTTTTTACATGATTTCCCTCCCTTTTAAAAACAAAGCCTTTCTTAAATTTGTGACACCCAGGAAGTGACATAATCTGCGCTCTTTATACAGCATGATGGGAGGACAAAAATAAATCACATCAATCCATTGTCTCAGTTTTCACACAAACTGTACAGTGCTGATCACATTCATCAACCCTCTTATTGTAAGAATAATCTCTATGAATAACTGTTATAATTTATGAGAAATACAACTTTATCAGTAACTGTAAATCAGATTTTGCTTAAGCTATGCTTACAACATTGTCAGTCATTCTAGAAAGTTCATTTACTTCATACATCTTGGTGTTTACTGTTTATTTGCTGAAAAAATAACAAAAATCACAATGTTGTAAACCATATTGAGAAGTTTTTGTAACACTGATGCAAAAACTGTGGACCAGATATAAAATAAATGCCAAAAAAAACAAAAACAAAAAACATTTAATTTGGCCTGATATTAACGATCAGTATAAAACTTTGTAAACCTCAATTTGTTGAAAGTCAAAAAAGTAACTTTTGTACACATTTCATAGTTTAAGCGTTTATCTAAATATGATGAAGCACTTGAATCGTTATAACATGAATGTTATTCAGCATCATGAATGAAGTATAAACACCAACCTGTTTGTTCTTCAGTATCTTCAGTGTGTTTCATTCTGCAGGGTTCTGGATCTCCCATATTCTCTCTCCTCTTTAATAAACTCAGTCTTTGCAGATTTAAAGGGGTCATTTGATGCGATTTCAATTTTTCCTTTCTCTTTGGAGTGTTACAAGCTCTTGGTGCATAAAGAAGATCTGTAAAGTTGCAAAGACTAAAGTCTCAAATCCAAAGAGATATTCTTTATAAAAGTTAGGAGTCAGTCACGCCTGCCTACAACGGCTCGTTCTAACACGCCCCCACATGTCTACGTCACTATGTGGGAAGATTTGCATGAGAGTAGCCTACAATGCTGGCTGTTCTGACTCAAAGACTGTAAGTGCATTTTTTATATTTAAAGAGTTTTTATATTTTATACATTTAAAGCGAGTTTTTTGGGCAGTGTAGAGTAGGGCTTGTTGTTTGTCATTTCTCCGATCACAAATGCAGACGTCGCTCCGGCCTGACAGGGCATCATCACAGTATGGTCAGGGCCTTACATTTCTGTCTCACGCTTGAGGTATTCGGCCAATCACAACGCACTGGATAGCTGGCCAATCACAGCACACCTTTTTAGAACAATGAACTTTGTAAAAAGCGACATGTTTCAGAAAGGCGGGGCATAGAGGAGAAACAATAATGTACAGTATGTGGAAAATAATGTGTTTTTTGAACCTTAAACCGCATAAACACATTTCATTACACCAAATACACAAAATAATGTTCTTTTTAGCAGCATCATATGACCCCTTTAAGCTCTTCCTGATGCTTTAATGCTCATCTTCACTAAACTGACTTCACTAAATCACTAAACTGATGGGAATATTCCAGCATTTATTGGTGAACCACAGTGGGAGGAGCTTCACCGATGACGTGATTGCGATGGGATGAGCTTCACTGATGACGAATTATAGTGCAAGGAGCTAATCTGCCAAAATCTAAAATACATAAGTTACTGAGTTTGTTTTTATACTAACTGATAACAAAAATATATATATGAATTGTTAATATTGTATTGAAAGCATAAACTCAGAAATAAATGTACAGAATTGAAACCAACAAATGCCCTCAGCCTGTTGACACCTAAATAAACTTTAAGTGGCAATTTACAGGAGATCTTTAGACATCAGCATAAATAATGAGGTGAAAACAGGAACTATTGACATGAAATAAAGAGTATTTTCAGCAGCTCTGTTAATATTGATGAGGCTTAGACTATCAACACTCATTCAGGATCATCAGCAGATCATCTCACTAAGAGTCAGGACATACGATAAAAGCCTATAAAACTGCTCTACAGAAAGATAATACTGTTATTTCTCACAATATGCATGGATAAAACAATAATACAAAAACAAACACTAATAACACTCATTTTCATCAACACTACAGCAGCATAATATGTCCATATGTATAATTGGACCGTTTTGTTTTTGCAGAAACTGACAACAATCATGAAACCTTTAATAATAAAGAGCAATAGCAATATATGGTGTGCCAAGTGTAAAATGTTATTCATATTTATATTAACGACTGACTTAAAATGTCTACTGGCTCACTTTAGCAGTGTTTGTTCTGGTACATTTTAACAATGTAAACTAACTAACAAATTTGATCTGTCAAAGATGTCAGAAGAGTAGAAAAAAAATACACAGCATCAATTCCCCTCACAGATCTCAAACTTTGACTTTTGACTTGACATTCATTAACAGTTCTCTCTTCAAACATCGAAACAATCACACAAACAAATACACACACAAAAACAGTCAAAATTGCTCAGGGCTGAATTAATTCAATATATTTTCCTCACATGTTCGCTGCTGCTGGGTGGTTCTATAATTGGAGATACATTTGGCATTGCAGAAAGTTAAGAAAAAAAACTTTTCACTAACAGATGTTTTTTTCAGTATCTTATTGAAAACATATTTAATTTTAATAATTCAGTGCTTGCCAAACACAAGTTAATTCCTTTTTTTTACTTTTAATTAAAAAAAACCAGATGTCTTTATGGTATTGTTTGTCAACTCTGTTACGGACAAATTAGCCAATGTGTAGAAATAACAATAAATCATAACAGGGAAAATCCTTCTTGTTTCATTACACAAACAGTCCTTACATTCCATCACTTGAAACTGAGGTAATATTTCACCTATGCATACCTTAAAATAAAATAAAAAATACCTATGTCTTCGCAGAACTGTCCACTTGGAGCAAATATTTTTCAAGTAACAGAATTGTAAAGTAACGGAATTGACAGAATTGTCCGATGGACTGTCAATTCTGTTACCTCATTGTCAGCATTGTTACTCTACCTTGGTAACAGAGTTTGACGGTAACATAATTGACAATTATATTTTTTTTTTGCCAAAAACTCCACTTGCTAGCATAAATACTAAAAGCACATGGCACTACTTAAATAATGGTTAAAAGACTATTAAATAACACAGTGTGATCAATGAAAAAATCTGTTTTCCTTTTGATATTGTGGTAACAGATTTGACACTTTATAAAATAACTCTTGATGTAAGAACTTTTTAGATTAACATATTTTCTTATTGAGAGAGCACATAGACTTTTCTGTGCTTCAGATCTTAACAGTGAGGGAAAGTGACATCATTTCCTGTATCTTACATAGTTGTGGGAGATAATTCCACTAATTTAAAGGCAAAGTATGGTACTGTAACAGAGTTGAGCAAGATTTATGGACACACATTTTTATAAGAAATGTTTGTTTTTTTAAATAATGTTGTAGAATTAGGTAAATGACTCTTTTGGGCTTTTATAGATAAAATGAATGAAATATTACCAAAAGAAAAGTACAATAAAATATTTTGATTACACAATGAGACATGTTGGAAAAAATGCACTGACTAATTCGGACAACAAGAAATCATGATTTTCAGCTATTTATTAACACTCTTTTTGCTAAAAATATTATTGTTATGGACTGTAACATCTTGTAATTCGTAATAATGAGTAACACAGTATTAAAATAATTAAAAATATAACCATTTGAAAAAAAGCTGGGAAAAAATGACTTCGGACGGACACCAAATGTACCTGCAATTATATAGAATCACTCTGCTGCACTATTTCAGTAGGAAGACGCAAGAAAAGACGCACAAGTTGCGCTGAACCCAATGAAAACAATACAGAAATTAGCCTGTAAAATTTTGCGTAAACATACTGTATAAAGTGTGTTTGATGGTTGTGTAAATATGTGAAATACCGTGACCTGCTCGCCTCTCCTCAGAAAACGCGCGAGCGAGTGACGTCATCGCCACGGTCAAAAACGCGCCAAATGCTTGACAAAATGAAAAAGCATAAAAATCAATCATAATCACACAAAAAATAACAAGGATTACACGCCGCTTCTCTTTATTCCATCTGCTCTCTTTCAGCTGGTTGTGTAAAACTGTGGTGAAATGGAGGCAGTAATTAATTTATTTTGTACAATCCGTGTATTGTTTAAAGTTCATAATAATTGCTTTGACTTCATGAAGCCTCCTGGTGTGAATGGAGACATCATCTGATTAGAACATACTCTATTAAATGACAGTGTGAGTATGTATGACACTGGATATCAAGAGTGAAACTGTTAATCTCATTCAATGTCAGTCATGTGTGATACGAACAGAATGAGCATAAAATAAAAATGGACATTACCAATGAGTTGTTGATAGGAATAATGTGTTTAATCAATCATACTTGAAGCAAATACAAAAATTAAGTAAAAGTTAATCTGAATGAGACAGATCTCTCTTTACTGACTTACAAGAGAAGAAGAGAAGCAAAGTGGCTGGCTGCAAAAGTATATCTTGCATATGCAGGGCCGTTTCTAGGCATAGGCCAGCTAGGCGGTCGCCTAGGGCGCCACCAGCTGAAGGGGCGCCAATGAGCGCACGTACTGGCACTTT